TAGTAGTAGTAGTAGTAGTAGTAGTAGTAGTAGTAGTAATAGTAGTAGTAGTAATAATAGTAGTAATATCAAACAATAGTCGTTTTCCTAACTCATCGAGTATAAAATATCATAGAGAATAGTGTGAACATATGTTCAACACCTCCTTCTTAACTGATGATTTATCTTACAAGTGATCCCCTGACTACCGATACTGCTACATTTTATGGTTAGTTCCTGAATCATCATCGTCTAGGTCATTAGCAAAACTATCCATAATTACAACCGATCAAAGAATGCTAAATGATGATAATATGTTAAAATTCTTTTTTTTTCCTCACCCCTCAAAAAAAAAAAAACTGCTTAGAAATTAATGATTTGTCTTTCAACATTTCATTGTTACAACCATATTTACATAGGTGTGTACACAGGTTGCCTTCTTCTCACTTATCAGAGAAATTTAGTTAAGATTCAATTCCTGTTATCATCGATATATGAGATAATAACAAAAGTAGTATGTCAAATTTATTGTACATTATATTCTTTTTGACCAATATATTATCGGACAATCTTACTCAAAACTATTCACTTCACAAACTGTCTTGCCCCAATGGAAGATCATATCTGCACTTAACAATTTATCTTCTAAATAAAAAAAAAAAAAAACTTCCAAGACTTAAATATTTGGTAAGAATCGATCCTTGTTACATAATTCTAGCATGGAACAGTTTTCTTTTTCCCAAGTGTAAATCCTCCCTGAAAGCATTAATGACACATTCTCGAATCAAACATCATTTGTGTTAGGGGATTTCATCGGCCAATAATAACACACAACGATATCTGTTAATAGTGACAATTAGATGTTTGATAATCAGCAGTGCTTCAATTAGTCTTCCTGTGGCTTATCAGCCTTCAATATCTCAGATGTTTAAAATGCTGTATTGCTGTTGCGGCTGCTCGAGAAAAGTCTACTTATTTGCTTCAACTTGATGAATAAGGGTGATATGAGGTGAGGGTTAACGAAAAGAGGCCGGGAGCAAATACACTCAATTTTCTGAGCTATAAAATGTATTTAACTGAAGGAAGACAAAATGAAGAAGGCTTAGCACTTTTCAACTCTTATCAGCAAATTCTAATCTGCTTTGAGACTAATCCTGATATGCCTTTGTATGATATTGTGAATTTCTCACTACCTTTCTAATAACACACCGTATCACTATCACTATACTTTCCGGAAGGTTATCATTTTTCTGCTATGTAAATAGGTAACATGGTAGATGATAAAATAATAGATCAAGCAAAAATAGCATTCGTATCATAATTAACAAAAGGATTAGCTTTCGTAAATCTATTTCAGTGCTAATTTAATCAGACAAGAGTAAAATTTCGAACATCAAATTTTTAAAATTTTTGAATTACTAATTCTTTTTCTCCTTATTCTTTGCTATTACGGCTAAATTTCTCATCTTGTACTATTTACATTAACTATCCAGGCGCCAGAATCAAGCAAGCTTTCATCAATCTTTCCAATCGACTAAATACCTATCGGAGGTAATTTCTCTTTCTTTCGCTCTTTTTTTTCTCCCCGTCTTATCTTAAAATAAAATGAAAAAATCTATTAAGTTTGGGATAAGTATGAAATAACAAAAAATCTTCAAAATTCACCAACTCACTATTTTAACTGGCGCCTAAAAAGTAGCAATTAATCAAGCAGGTGAAAGATAAAAATTTGTTTCTTTGAGAAACGTGAACAGTGGAAATTTCGTCGTAGACACACAC